TCCAGCGAAGCCTGTCCTGAGCATCCTTTTCTATCTGTTTCCATGATGTCCCCGCTTTTTTTCAATTTCCGCTTGTATCACTCGCCCCCATGTCACCTTTGGTCTTCCATTCTTACGTTTTCCGGTAATTATCATAATCACTGTTTTTTTGGGGTTTTTTTAAGGGCCAAAGACAGCTTTCGTCTTTCTCTCAAACCAGCTTTAAGACATGATGGATCGGTATTCCCGTCTTCCCCTATCCCTGAAGGTCATTAGCAAAATTCAATATGGATACATAAATGTGACTGACATTTACAAATAATAACGAAACAGAAGAGATTGCCCATTCCACGTCATATGCACAAGGAACGTGAAATAGCGCTGTGTGATGTGAGTTGACAAAATGAGTTACTTCTCGGACTTTGGCATTTTATGGAAATTGATACCTCAACTTTTTAGGAGGAGTTTTGTACAATTTGTAAATATGGAATATTAAAATTAAAAGACTCAGTAGACTTGAACAAAATGGCTCCAATAAGAAATCTATCAATCTGACCCCAGCGTCGATTTTCGGCAGACGCAGACACCTCCGGTCTTGAACTATAAGAAGTAACTCATTTTTGTCCGCACTCTTCACCTTTACGAAACTAGGTACGGTTTTCTTTTCAAGAGCAGCAAAAAATATGTTTTTTAAATCGTGGAATGAGCCACAAATGTGTGATAATATGAGAACGTTAACTTATTTTGGGGTAAACGACGTGAGAAATAATAATAAAGTCACCTCCAGCACCCCTTTTCATTTCCCGCAGATTACGTTCAGGAGCTGACAGCACTCAACTACACAACTACTGCACTGTCTAACATTCAATAGAGAGAATTGTGCGTAAAGAGAAGAGAGGTTCATGCGATTTTTTTGTTTCATTTTTTTCTCTCTCGTTTCTTTCTTTCTTTCTTCGTTAGTTAGTTAGTTTTATTTATTTAATTTGTATTTTTGTTGTTGCTGTTTTCTGTTGGTACTTGTTTAAAGGGATACCACGAGGCTACTTTTTGTTATTTATTACGTTCTACCATCCCTTCTCCCCTGCCACTGGGTTCATATAGGCCTACCTACTTGTGTCTTCGCATTCAGACGTACAGAATGAGACACAGAGATACCTCTTTTACTGTAGAGAGCTCTCCTATAGTCCGTCGGAAGTGACGTCACTGTTCTCCGAGTTTGGTCACGTGACTTCTGTAACCAATCAGCGATGGCGGTAGTGGTGGTGGTGGTGGTGATGGTGGCGGTGGTATCCAGCGAGCGAGTGGCAGGCGCAGTATCTATTCGGAGACGGCTTCAACGGAAATAGACCAATCAAAATGCTTTGTGCCTCTGAACAAGAAAACAAATCTGGGGGGTTACAGGGGTGGGCATGCCCCCGTATTTTAACCCATAATTTGATATTTTGCAGTTAAGTTTAAAAATGTCTGGAAAATAATTGATTTGCGATTTTTCAAATTGGCTTTATGCGTGATCAGAAGCAAATAATACGCAGTTTGACTCCA